ACCGCGCCGCGGCCGAGCTGATGACCAGCCTCGTAATTCGCAACCCGGAAGTCTCGTCGTACCAGGTCGATTTGGCCGGAGCCCGCATGAATCTAGGCATGCTGCTGCGTTCGATCAATCAGCCGGAACAGGCGCTCGCTGAACTCGAGTCGGCGGTCGAGCTGCTGGACGTTCCGGCCGAGGAGTCGCCCACGCCCCGCCAGCGACGCGATCTGGGCGCCGCCCAACGCGAGGCCGGCCGCCTGCAGGTGGAGCTGGGCGACCACGAAAGCGGACTGACGTCGCTCAACGCCTCGCAAGAGACCCTCAAGGCCCTGGTCCGCGAGCATCCGGGGCAGCAGGAATTCAGCAGCGAACTTTCCAAGACCAACGAGGCGCTCAGCGAAGCGGAGCAGGGCGCCGCCGACCAGCCCGTTGAGAAGGCAACCTAAGGTCTGATCACTGGCGCCGCCCACAACCGAACCGGCGTCAAGCAGCAGCCGATGCAAGTGGTCGGTTCTCCAGCACGCGCCGACGCCAGCGCGCCCCGCTGGTCACTTCTCGCCGGACACCGCCTCGGCGATGTTGTGCACGTGGTCCAGGACCCGCGCGTAAGCGTTCAGCGAAGCCATCATCGCCACGCTCACCAGTGGCGGGACGCCGCCCTCGGACAGGTCGTCTAGGTGCTGACGGCGCACCTGCTTGATGTGGGCACGGATCCGCTTGGCTGCTGGGGTGGTCTCGACCAGCACGTTACGATTCCCCTGCTCGAGCGCGACGTTGATGGTCCCCAAGTGCTCCAGCACCTCGCCGTTGAGGCTGTTGAGGTCCCGCCGCTGGTCGGGCGAGAAGCGATGGCCGTCGCGGCGTAGCTTGTAGTCGAACTTGTCGAGGTCCGCGATGTAGTCGCTCACCGACTCGTATTCGTCCGCCATCCGCAACTGGCGGCGGGCCTCGTCGGCCACCATGTGCGGCACGCTGCCCGACAGCAGGTTGGTGATGTAGACGGCGATCTCGTCTTGGATCGAGTCGAGCACCTGTTCGCGGCGTTTGAGGCGATTGGCCAGCTGCTTGTCAGGCTCGTCCTGCTCCCGCAGCGTGGCAAGCCACTGCAGCATCTTTTTACAACCATCACCCATCCGCTCCAGTTCGGTCCCGGACTGCTCGATCGCCAGGGCTGGCGTGTCGAGCATCCGCACGTCGAGGTCGGTGAGGTGCGGCTTCTCCTTGAAGTTCTTTGACGGCACCACCCGCTCCAGCATGCGGACCAGCATCGGGACGAACGGCATAAAGAGCACGACGTTCGCGATATTGAAGATGCTGTGGGTCGCGGCAATAGCGGCGGTGGTGTTGGGGAAAGTGGCGTTGCCGTCCACAACTACCTCCTTGGTGACATCCAGGTCCACGACCCACTGCACGAGCCCGATGTACCAGTGGAAGATCAGCGTAACCCAGAAGACGCCCACCAAGTTAAACAGCACGTGAAAGTACGCCGCGCGGCGGGCGTTTGTGGTCGCGCCAAGCGACGCCAGGAACGCGGTGATGGTGGTGCCGATGTTTTCTCCCAACACCAGAGCCGCCGCGGTCTCGTAAGAGATCACCCCCTGGAACGCGAGCGAGATCGTGATGCCCAGGGTCGCCGAGGACGATTGCACCAGGGTCGTCAGGACGCAGCCCATCAGGGCGCACGACAACACTCCAGGGTAGTCGTCGGCCCGAAACCGGTGAAACCAAGATTCGAAGTCGGGGTTTTCCTTGATGATGGCGCACGCGTCCTTCATCAGCTCAAGGCCGAAGAAGACCATGCCAATGCCCATGATGGCCATCGCCCAGTAACGCCAGCGGTCCCCGCGCGAGAACAGGTAGACAAACGCCGCCGCCCCCAGCAGGGGCAGGCCGTACTTGCCGATTTTAAGCACCAAGATCCAGCCGGTGATGGTCGTGCCGATGTTGGCGCCCATAATCACGCCCACCGCCTGGCTCAGCGCCATCACGCCGCTGTTGACGAAGCCGACCACCATAACGGTTGTGATCGAGCTCGACTGGACCACGCACGTAACAATCACGCCAACCAGCATCGCCAAGAATCGGTTGCTGGTGACCGCGCTGATGAGCCGCCGCAGGCTGCTGCCGGCCACGGCTTGCATGCCCTCGGACATGTGCTTCATGCCGAGCAAGAAGATTCCCAAGCCGCCTACAAGCTCGAACACGAGCTGCGTCAAGGAGGAAAGATTCAAGGAGTCGCGCCTGCAGGAGAACCAAATGTGAAGATACGATTAAGACGGCGGCGTGGGCCCCGAGTATAGGGGGTGAGCCCCCGCATGCAACCGGCGGGGGCGGGTGAAACCGGCTGACGCCCCGCTCGTGAAGCAATGAGGCCCAAATCTGCCTCGGACAACTATCAACCGCTGCTGGTAATCCGCACCCATAACCTGCACGCGGCCCCGCCCACCCGCCCTCCGAACGCGTCGCCCGCCACGCAGTACCGGCTCGCAGCGGCGAGAACGGGGCCTGAGGCGATGGCCGGTGCGCCGTGAAACGTCACAGGTACAGTCTTCCGCGCGCAGTCGTTGACGCCGCCGGTTGGCGGTACCGCAGGCAGGCGCAGGCGGATTAGAATTGGTTAGTTTGACGAACCGTGGCCGCCCGTAACGAGGTCAACGCGGCGATCGGCCAACCTGAGGAAGCAATAGTGCAACGACAGTCCGCGTGCGAGAAATCCACCACGCCAGTGCCATGACCGTGGCGCCGCCCAACGCAGGGCTCGCCCCTGCAGGTTGAGCTAGGGCGACATGTCGCGGGGATACGCTACGCTCAAGGGACCCTCAAGGCGCTGGTCCGCAAGCACCCCGGCCCGTAGGACTACAGCAGGGAGATGCCAACGACCAAAGAGGCGATCTGCGACGCCGAGAAACCGGCAGAAGAGCATCCGCCCGCAACGGCGGCGTAACCGTTGCACGACGACCATCGCCAACGAAAAAGCCCCGCGTGGTCGATGCCACACGGGGCTTTACTCGAGCAGTGCTAGTGTCGCTGCGTCTTACGATTGCCTGCGACGTACAAATCCGACGCCGGCCAGCAAGGCCAGCACCGCGGCCGATGGCTCCGGCACTGGCACGACAGCAAGGCCACGGATCAGGTCGCCTGCCGCGATCGTTCCGAGCGGCGTAGCTGTCCCCGTGGACAGATCAATCGTGTGCAGAATGCTGTTCGGACCAGTCTGCAAGCTGGCGTAGGCAATTCCCGTAGCGCCACTAATGTCGAAACCGACCTCATTGGTAATCGTTCCGACGCCTAGACTTCCAATCGTCTCCAACGTGCCAGCGTTGTTGGCGACGGTAGTGAGCACACCCAACCGGCTGTCAATGCCGTACTGCTGCGTTGACGTGGCGACACCAAAGCTATTGGTGTAGGCGATTCCCGTGATGTTTGGGTCGGAGCCCGCGTTCGGATCGCCCGGTGCGTAGAAAACGTCCGTTTTCTCTACCGGCGCTAGGTACTGTCCCGTGTCCCCGCTGATCACACGGTTGTCGTTCGTGTCGGTAATGATCCGCGCGAACTCACCGCCACTAAAAGCCGGGTTAAAGTCAAATGCAAAACTCAGGCCCGGGATTCGCGGAGTGAAGGTGCCAACCAGCGTGGCGTTGAATGAGACCGGGTCGAACGTGTATACGTTCTCCATGTCATCCAGAAGATAGAGATCGCCGGTTGCAGGGCGATAGTCGATGGCTTCCAGGTCAACCGACCCCGAGAGGTTTCGAACGCTGCCGCCATCGACAATCACGCCTGGAGTAGCGCTGTCGAAGACCGCGATGCTGTTCTGCGTCGTGAGCGCATAGATTGTTTCGGCTAAACTATCTGCAGCGCAGAAGAAAAGTGTCCCCGCCCCCAGGGCGAGCGACAAAGCAAACTGCATCAATTTCATGAGACTGATCCGGGTGAGACAAAATTGCGAATAACCACATAGCCAGGACTGTTAATCTACGCCCAGGCACTACTACCCGCAATACTTTCCTCCGCTTAAAAATGAAGGTTCTCGAGAGCTGGCAGCTTCGAATCCAATTTGAATCCCAATGCTGGCTCTAAGAAGACCAAAGTGGTCTCAGAATGAGACTAAATCCGTCACCTGGTCGCTACGCAACCAGCGACAATCGGGGTCCACGTGACCACTTGGCCGGTGGACCCAAGCAAGGAATTCGCAACGCGAGTTCTCATCACAACCTCGCAACGCTGATCCAATGATCGGTGAGTTGAGGTGACTCTACTGCCAGCTAACACTGTTGATCCGCACGTCCCTCGCCACCTTGGTTACGCAGCTGAATGACCTTGGCGTTCAATCCCGAGGACTTGTCCTGGGAAAGATCCATGAGCCGGAGTGCCTTCGATCGATGCGGCGGAGCGGGCTCAGCATCGAGAACAACACGCAGAAGCAACCTGCCCCTGCGGACCGAGAAATGACATGGCGACGACATCCTGATCATGCAGAACGAGTTCTGCAGGAGCGAGGGCAGCTTCCACCCGGGCGTGTTTACCCATGACCCGACTGACCAGGTTTAGAAGCCGGACATGACCTGCTCTCCCTACATCGCTGGCTGGGCAACGCGGTCGACGCGGAACGCGACTAGTAGTTTTCTAAGCGGGACGACTTACACGCTATGACGATCGTCGTGGTTGGCGCCGGGTACGACGACTGGCTCTAGCGCATGCACTCATGAATTACCAGTCTGACGTGTCCGAGAAGACTGCTCCCATCGGCCCGCAGGTGCATCCTCAAAGCGAGATGGCTGTCAGCTTCCGTCGCATCAAGCTAACCGATCCGGACTGCCCAACGGGGCTATGAGCCTGCCACTGCTCACTTGTCGCGGGGGAGGAGTTAATCGATAGTGATGGGCTCAGCGGGCTCCGCACCTCTTCCCATGTGGGGGGCGAACCGGCCTGGGTGCGTAGCGATTGCCGCCGCCGCTCGCTTTTTTCAACCTCGATTTTGGAGTGCTTCACATGATTACCGTCGGCATGAATTATCACGTGATTCCTGGGAAGCAAGCCGACTTCGAGGAGAAGTTTGCCGGCGTGATCGACGCCCTCAAAGCGGCGGAAGGGCACGACAGCTCCTCGCTGTGGAAGGACGTCGCGGACGACGCCTCGTACCTGATCACCAGCGAGTGGTCCAGCGAGCAGGCATTCACAGACTTTATCCGCAGCCAGGCCTTCAAGGACGTCACGACCTGGGGCAAAGAGCAGATCCTCTCGGGCCGTCCCCAGCACAAGATCTACAAGCACTAGATCGCCCCCGCGTCGCTTACTGCTCGTACTTCTTGATCACCAGGTACTTCATCTCGGTATCGCCGATGTTGCGCAGGCCATGGTGCGAGTGGGGCGGGCAGTAAAAGCTGGTCAACGGCCCGCCGGTCTTGGTCCGGCCGTTCAGGTGAAACTCGGCCTCACCCTCAAGGATGAAGAAGAACTCGTCCTCGGCGTGCGTGTGGGGGGCGTGGGTCGCTTGGTGGGGCTTCACGACGCTCAGCTTCAGCGTGCGGCCGTCGAGAAACTTCTTGTCGGCGAACCAGTACTGGTAGCCGGCGTCGGTCTTGATGGCGCCCTCTTCGTTGAAGGTGTTCACGCAGTTGTCGATGGTGAACTTCGTGCCCGCGGCTTCAGCGTCTGGCCTGGCGGCCTCTTGGGCGAGCACCTGGTACCCAATTACCGACAACGCGGCACACACGAACAGCCGTTTCATCTTCATGACCAAATCGCTTCGGGGCAAGGAATGACGGCGCGCGGGTTGAAGGGTTTGACAAACGCAGCGCCCGCGTGTGATTGTGCCCCATCACGCACGAGGTGTCACGCGCAGAGCGTCGCGTTTGCAAGGATTGGCTTCATTGACGTCATCATTGGTCTCAACCAACGGGTGTGACACGAGCCGTTGCTAGGCGCCCCAATTCTGCAGAAGGGCGCCGAGCGCAAGACAACGGACTCCGACTGCAGCCAGGAGGCCTCGGCTTGCAGAAAGCCACCCCGCACGGCCGCGCTCATCGCGGTAGAATACGCCGCACCGCGACCGGCTACGACGCCCAACGCGTGATACTCTTCTGCTCCGGCTTCGACGCCGATCGAATTGCGATTAACCCTTAAGGGGGGGACAGTGTTCGCCACGACCTCAAGCGTCGGCGCTTCGCTTCGTCGCGCCCGCGCGTTCACACTCGTTGAGTTGCTGGTGGTGGTTGCGATCATTGGCGTGCTGGTTGCGCTGCTGCTGCCGGCAGTCCAGTCGGCGCGTGAATCGTCTCGCCGGATGCACTGCGCCAACAACCTCAGGCAATTGGGACTCGCCTTTTCTAACTACGAGTCGACTCACCAGGCGTTTCCAGCCAGTGACGACATTCAGTTCCCAGACAACTGCAACAGTGGTTCTTGTCGGGGAGCGCCGATGTGGATGACTCTGCTGCCCTACCTTGAGGACGGCGCGATCGAAGGCAGCTACGACAAGACAACATCGATGGGCACCAACGCGTTGGTTGGCAGCAACCACCCTCTCACAAAGATTGTGATCGATCTATACAAGTGCCCCACCGTTTCGCTGTGGGACGACCTGCCAGAACGACGCGACTACTACGGCGTCCGCGGTTTAGATACCGGCCGGCAACCCAGGTACGGGGATGGTTTGTTCCTGATGGCTCAGCCCACAAAGGCGAGTAAACTGACCGATGGCTTGTCTAACTCGCTGGCCGCGGGTGAGGCGATCCATGGCGACCGGTACGGGAAGCCCGACATCTACTACAACACCAGCACCGGTGGGGCCACGCCGTGGATTTGGGGAGGCAATTGCAGCAAGGGCACCGCGAAAACCCCCTGCTCGGGCGGCCAGAAAACTCGACGCTCCTCACGCTCCACTAAGTACCCCATCAATTCAGTGCTGACCCCCATTGGCAGTCAGTACGATCAGGTGCCTTTTGGCAGTGAACACCCAGGGGGCGCCCAGTTCGTGTGGGCGGACGGGCACGTGACATTCATAGAGGAGTCTATTGGGACGGATCTCTACCAAGCGTTAGGATCGATCGCCCAAGCAGATCAAGCCCTGTAGCACTCTTTATCCCGGAGCCGTTTGACATGACGTGTGTCGCTTACCGGTCAATTGTGGTCTTGATTGCTGCTGGGTTGGGGGTGGGATGCGGTGGAAACGCCGCACGCGAGGAACGCGTCCCCATTTCCGGTCGAGTGACTTACGCGGGCAAGCCGGTGACAGAGGGGCGGATTATATTCTATCCCGAAGACGGGCGTCGGTTGGCAATGGGCGCCATCGACGCCACGGGTCGCTACGCTCTGACTACCTACGAGAGCGAAGATGGCGCATTCCTTGGAGAACACCAGGTGGTGATCGATGCCGTCCGCGAAACTAGCGCCGGGCCCGCCTCTCCTTCGGAAGAAATCCAGGCCATGAATGCCGGGCTGATCAGACTTGTCCCGCCCCTCTACGCGGACCGCAGATCAACCCCGCTACACGTGAAGGTCACTCGTGAAGACGACGCGATGGATTTCGTCCTACCGCGGTGAGGCGACTAGGTGAGGAGCAATCTCTAAGCGTGTCACCTTCAATCGTCCCGACGGAGCACACGATCCCACGCCCCAAGCTCCGCAGCCCCGTCGCACCCAAGTCGCACGATGGACTAGAGCCGCGGCGCCGCCAGTCCGCCGTCGATATAGAGCACATTGCCGGTGGCGTAACTGAGCTGGCCGGTGGCGAGTGTGGCCACCGCGCGACCGACATCCTCCGGCAGTCCCCAGCGGGGATCGATCGTCAACCCTTCGGCGAACAGCTGGTCATACTTGTCAGCGACGCCCGCGGTCATGTCGGTCTTGATCACGCCGGGGCGGACCTCGTAGACCGGGATGCCGTGCTCGCCGAGCCGCGCGGCCCACAGCTGCGTCGCCATGCCCACGCCCGCCTTGCTGATGCAGTAGTCGCCACGATTGGTCGAGGCCACCACCGCGCTGATCGACGACACGTTGATGATCGACGGGCGCCGGTTGGCGTCCGCCTCGCGTTGCTCGATCATCCAGCGGGCCGTGGCCTGCGTCAGGAAGTACGGTCCGCGGAGGTTGATCTGGATCAGGCGGTCGAACGACTCGGGCGTCGCGTCCAACAGGTCGGCCCGCACTTCGGGCGCTACGCCGGCGTTGTTGACGAGCACGTCGAGTCGGCCAAATCGGACACGGATCTCGCCGAGCATCCGCGCGTGGTCGTCGAGGCTGCTGATGTCGGCCTGGCAATAGAGCGTCTCCGCGGGCTTGAGGCCGTCGAGCGCATCGGCGATGTCGGCCTCGGGTCGGCGGCCGTTGACCACCAGGCTCATGCCGTGGCTAGCCAGCGCCTGAGCTATTCCGTAGCCGATGCCGCGACTGCCGCCGGTCACCAGCGCGACGGGCTTCTCGTGAGAATCCATCCGCTACTCCGTGGGGCCGAAGAAGGTGTAGTAGGGTTCATTCTTGGCCATCCGCTGCACCAGCAGGGCCGCCTCGCGGAGGTGGTAGTCCCCCCACATACAGGCCTCGCCATTTGGCACGCCTTGGCCGGGCGCCTGATAGTCCCAGCCGTTGGGGCGGTGGTAGATGGAGTGCAGCAGCAGCCCTTCATGGTCGCCGTCGGTGCTGAGATAGGGCCCGTCGAGCAGCGATCGCAGCGAGGTAAGCCCGGCCTGGCGGTAACGTTTGGCGTCGGCCGACTCGCCTCGCGCGTCGAGCAGGTTGGCCAGCCGGATCAGCCCTTGCAGGCCGATTGCGGCTGCCGAGCTGTCGACCGGCTCGTGGTCGTTGTAGGGGTCGGCTGGGCGGCCGAGGTAGTCGCCCATCGCGGCCAACCCCGGAGCACCGGTGTCCCAGTACGGCACGCCACACACCGGGGTGTGCTCGATGAAGAAATCGCAGGTCGCCCGGGCGGCCTTGAAGAACACCTCCTCGACCTCGCCGCGACCACCGAAGGGCTCGAACTCCGCGTCGGGGAGGGTGGCGAGCCACTCCAACTGCTCGGGGTAGCCGACCATCGCCCAAGACAGACCGCGGGTCCAGGTAGAAAATGGCGAGTACCCCTGCTGCGTAGACGGGCAGCGGTAGTCGCCGTTGTTGACATTGAACAGCGACTCGTGAGCGGTACGGCCCAGCAGGTCGTAGGCGTCGCGGTCCCCGCCGTACCAGATGTTGTACTCGGCGGTCGCGCGGGCATGCTTGATGATGCGCCCCAGCAGGCAGATCTGCTCGTCCCGCTCTCCCATAAGCTTGTGGCCCAACTGGTGGGCCACGGCCAGCGCGCGGCATGACCGGATGGTGTCCACAAACAGCGACTGCGGCCCGTTGAACGAGTAGATGTAACCGCCGTCGTTCTTGGTGGTCGACCAGCGGAGCGCCTGCACGGAGCCGCTCGCCTTGATCGCCATCTCGTAGAATCGGCGTTCCCAATCGGTGGCGTCGTGGCGACCCTCGTTGGCCAAGCGGAGGAGGGCGCCGTAGGTGCTGATATTGTTGAAGCCGTGGTCGTGTACGCCGGCGTGGGTCACATGCGGCGCCATGCAGTCGGCGGTCCGCTCGCGGCCGAGTTGCAGGAACCGCTCATCGCCGGTGGCGTCGAACTGCAGGATCAGCGACCCGTACTGGAAGCCCTGAGTCCAATCGGTCCAGCCCTGGGCCTGGTACTCGCCCTTGATCGTGAATACGGGCGAGGGCGCCCCTACCTGCCAGCGGCCCTCAATGCGGTCCAGCCGATCGGCCGAGGCCGCCCACATCTTGTCGATAGCGGGGAGCAGGTCCTGGGGGGTGAGGCTGTCATCAACGTTAATCATGGGCTCGCCTGTCGCGGTGGCTGAATGCAGTGCAAGCACCTAGCTTGCCGGACGCGGGCGGCGTCTGCAAGCGTCGAAAGTCGCAAACCCCGGCCGATTGAGCGAGTTGCGCGGGCCGCCTTAAACCGGCCCTTGCACCGAGGGACTCCACGTCTCGGGCGCGCTGCACACCGCCGGTAGCAGCGACAGCGGCTGACAGCCGCAGTTTTTTTGATCTGGCAAACTTTGCCGCTGCCCCCGACCGCCGGGCGCCGATATGCCGTAATGGTGGAGATTCTCCGACTTACTGGCGCCCCGTGTCCGCCGAGCAAGCACTTTCACGAACCACTGAGCCTACGGTCGGCTCAGCAGCTCAATGCTTACCAGCGTCATACTCAGCACGTACAACCAGCCGCTGTGGTTGACGAAGTCGCTTGTCGGTTTCGCCAATCAGGACCGGCTGCCGGATGAGGTCGTCGTCGCTGACGACGGCTCCGGCGAGGAGACGCGCCGGGTGATCGAGCGGTTCCGATCCGCCACGCCCTTAGCAATCCGGCACGTCCGCCACGCCGACCGCGGATTCCGCAAGACACGCATCCTGAATCAGGCGATCGAAGCCGCCCGCGGGGACTACCTGATCTTCACCGACGGCGACTGTGTGCCCCGATCAGACTACGTCGCGGCCCATGCCGGCCTGGCCGAGGCGGGCGCCTTCTTGTCGGGCGGGCTGGTGAGGCTGTCGTTGGCGGGGAGCGAGCTGATCGACGAGCCGCTGATCCGCAGTGGCCGCTGCTTCCGCCCCGGGTGGGTCTCCCAACACGGCGGCGTGCCGCTCCGCCGGCTGCTGAAGGTGGCGGCCCCGCGGTCCTGGGCCGCCACGCTCAACCGGCTGACGCACGTGCTGCCGCACTGGAGCGGGTCGAATGCGTCGTGC